GTTCACCTGTGACGTCCCTTTTCCAGGCATGAACAAGTAGAAAGCATACTTAGAAGCACCCTTTTAATGCAGCATTCCAAAAGTTTCAACCGATTACTTCTGCCTTCATACCATTTGGTCAACATTTAGTTATTTGAACGCCCGTATCTACCAAGGAGCATAAGAAGTGTAGTTTTGCATTGCCAGTTCATCCCCTGCTCAAAAACATAAATTTTAAACCAATGTTCTATATTAAAGCAGAAGGGAAAGGTAGATACTGGTAAGAAGTCAACTGGCCTTCTGTGATCTGTCTTAGCCTTCGTTTTGTTTTGATCTGATCTGCAATTTTAAGCACTTTATTCTGTAGCCCCCCCCCCCGACTTTGCACTCCCTGAGAAACCCCTTTGCCACCTCTCCCAACACTTCACTCATATTCTGCAGGTTTTTTGTTTCCTGTCCCAGCTGCTCTTACCTCTGACTCCTTGCTCAGATCATAGTTCATAGAAGAGGCCTTTCTGGGAGCAGCAGTTACAGTTATTACCCACCTTTCTTTGTTCTTTCATCTATCATAGCCCTTGTCATGGTTTAGCCAAAATAGTTTAACAGTTCCTATTTCATATCCTGTGTGACTTTCTCATCCCCCCCCCATGAGTGCCTAGCATAACACATTATATATTGCCAATGCTGGGTACGTGTTTATTGAATTCCATTTCAAACCCAATGCCAGCAAGATAATAGCACACAGTCCTTTTATGCCACATTTCCAAAGCGATTTCTTTTTGTAAGAAGAAAAAAAAAATTGGTTTTATCAAGTTTATGAGCATCCTATCACATTTAATGGCCGTTGGCGAATCTGAGGGTTCTCGGTTGCGTCAGTGAACAGTCTGTCAGATGGGAGTGCAAACAGCAGTTTGTTTTGAAATACCGACCCCCTAAACGTGGAAGAAACATTAACCCTCCTGGCCTCTCGGAATGTGTGCATTTGATGTGCCCAAGATTAGGGGCACTTCTGAGAACAAACAACAAAAAAGGGAGGGGGAACAATAAAATCTTTTTTTCTAGAAGGCACCTGAAAGTCCTAGAAATGGATGGTCACTTAGCTGTTCAGGATATCAAAGGACAGCCTGGCCTAGGAGACCTCAAGTTTGTTTTATAAGGTGTCCTAAATAATCTTTTCATGGTTTTAGAGATATTTTCAAATTCCAATTATTTTAGGGGGTTATTACCTAGACTTGAATTTAATGATTTTCCGATGTCTACTTTTTCTTTTTAAAAACGGCATTCTGTGTGCCTCAGTGACACTGGATTAGTCATGTTGTAGTCATACGTAAATGTTAAGATTTACGGAATGTCTTTTTTTAGGTAAAAAAAATTTTTAGTAGCATTTCTTGGTTATAGGGTCTGCATATTACATCAGTAGTAACTTGTTTCTGGGATGTGTTTTAAAAACTGTAAACCTGCTAAATACACAGTTGACCGAGGAGTCATATTGGAAGTCCCTCCTACAGAGTTCATTTCTTTTCAAAGACCTAAAAAAAGTTAAGTCCCTTTGAATTTAAGGCCATGCCTAAAATTAGATTTTAAGAATTTT